AGACATGGTAGGAATTTAAGAAATACTTGTTGAATAGTTTTTCTTTAAAATTCTGGTATTTATCCCCTTCTTCCTTTATTTATCCCATTTCTTTCCTTTATTCTCCCATGTTTCATCAGGAAAGAAAGACTAGACAAGACTCCGTGTTCAGCTGTATCTCCAGACTAAGTTATGGTACATTGATTATAATGTAAGGTTTTTATTTTGTTTGGTTAGGTTTTCCTTTCCTCCTCCTATAAAAATATTACCTGCTTATTGACCAGGTATGGGGAAAATATGAAGCAGTTTGCATTTTTAGCTAAACCAACAATAAAGTATATACAAGACAATCCTGCATGGTTTTACTGGATTTTGGAGTACTCATTGTGTAACTCTTTGATCAGAGATATTCCAGAACTACCAGAGCGAGAAGAAGGAGAGGGAGAAGAAAGGGAACTTCAAAATGCAGCATACAGCAATTGGAATCAGCCCCGACGGTAAGGACTATTTCTGTCTTCTGCCCACTCGGTGCCTATGGAATGGGAGGTGTAGTTTCAAGTGCCGGATTACAACTTGCTCCTTGTGACACTGAGTAAGTTGTTTAATATTCTTAACGCTCCATTTCTTCATGTGTTCAGTGGAGAAAATAATGTGTATCACACAGGGTTAAAATGAGCATATTATATATGCAAGGATCTGGCACATAGCAGAGACTAAATATTAACTGGAGAAAATTATGAGTAGGTGGTGGGAATGGATAACACTTTCTGTAGAGTTTGATCTTAGTTATACCACCAAATGTTCATTTAAATTTTATCTGGCATTTTTAGAAACTAGATATTCATCAAACATATATGTTCAAAGTGTGCATGTGTGAAAGTTAGGCAGCCTTGTTATCACAGGCTGAGGTTATCCTCAGCCATGATCTGTCTAGCACCAGCTTCACATGTGATAGAAAAGACGACTTTCCTAAATATACTCTGATGTATCACTGTGCGTCACTAAGGCATATTGACATGTTCATGCTAAGTAAAATCAACTTCAATTTAATAAGAATTTATTGAGTCCTGATTATGGACCCAGACCTGAAACCTATGTTGTGATTAATAGGGAAGTAAGTGTAAGACATCAATGCTGCTTTCAGGAAGTTATAATTTACTTTGCTGGGCAAGATGTAGAAAAATGTGAAACTAAGAACAGTATAAGGTGTTTTACATTAAGTTTAAAACGTAAGAAATCTTTGGATGCTGCCTCCAAACAGATCTAAAGGTAAACATCATGATGGTGCCTTGCTTTTAGTAAGCGTTAATATTTGTTCTATAGTGAATAAATAAAATGCTCAAGAGAAGAATTTCTCTTATTCAGAGATACAATTTGATGCTTTCTCTTCTTACAAATGAACTTGAGCCTGCAGCAATCACATTTAAATATTTTTTTAAATATAGAAAACATTATTTTATGTTGCTTTCAAAGAAACAGTAAGCATTTCCAGACATCTAAAATGAGTTTTTGATTTGAATTTCTTCAAAAGCCATCTAGCTTATTTTAAAAAATTCAAGGTCTCTCTGCAGCACTGCCCACATTAAGAACAGGATAAAAGCGCTAGATTTGTGGCAGAAAGGATAAGGTGTTAACTGTCTATTTATTTGTACATGGAGGCAGAAATAAATTAGATGAAGTTATTTTGTGGCAGGTGGTCATAGTGATAAACTTTTTTATTTTGTTGGAAGACAGTGATCACAAGAAAAAAAGATAGGTTGGTCAGTTTTAATAACATTATGAGAGGAAAAGTAGTTTTTAGAAGGCAATATGGAAAATAGCTGGAGTCATTAAGAGCGATGTTTGAATTGTAGCTTTGATGCTTTCTAAGACAAGTTTCTCAAACTGCTAGATTTCAGCTATTTTATCTGTAAAATGAGATTAATAATAGAACTTTTTGAGTTTGGGGAGGATTCAGTGTGTGATAATGCATATAAAATTCTTAGTATAATTCCTGGCACAGAGTGAGTGTTTAGCTAGTGGTTGGCTTTGTCTACAATGATATAATATTGAATACTAATAACTAAGCAAAGAGAAAGCATTGAACATGGGAATAATTATGACCTTTTCTTATAAGGAAGAAGAGCATAATTTCTGGACTGGAAGATTTTTATACTTTTAACCTTCACATTAGCCTAAGAGATATCTCTAAAGGGGGTAAACTACCTTACATAGAGAAAATGTGAGAAGCTTTCATAAATCCTACAGAAGGTACTCATTAGTGTACTCATTAATGTGTATAGAAGCAGTAAGCAACTTTTAGGGGAAAGTTCATACAATATGATGAAGAAGCTTACCAGAATAATCAGAGATTTTAGTAAATGAGGAGCAAGTGTTATGAATATGTTTCATAGCATTGGAAATGTGATGGGATGTTCTTTCATGAAGTTGACAAAAATTTACTTTGTGTGCAAGTAGAGAATACTTTTTAGCAAAGTGTAAATTTTAAGATTGTAAAATAGGCTGTATTACTCTTATTTTGCATGCGGTTTTTATTTACAGAATTAGTATCATACTGTATGTATCATTTTGTAGCTTGCTTAATTTTTCCCTTAATCTTATGTTTTGGGTATCTATCATGTTTTTTTTTTTTTTGTCTTTTGTCTTTTTTCCGTGTCCGGCAACGGATCGCAACCCTCAGTGTTGCCCCCGTACCGGGCCGGGGACCGGCAACGGGATCACAAGCCTCGGCGTTGCTCCCGCGCCTCGCTCAGCCAGTGAGCGGGAGCCGGTCTGCATATGGGATCCGAACCCTCGGACGGGAGCGCCTCCGCGCTTCCCAAGTGGCGCACTAGCGCAGTGCGCCACCAGGCCGGCCCCTATCATGTTTGATATCTAAAGACCTAATTCATTTAATTGAGTTGTGTTGCATTTCAATATGTGGATATACCACAGTTTATCAGTTCTCAGGTTGACATTTTGGGTAGTTAACAGTTATTTGCTATTATAACTCTTAGCAGTAAGCATCACTGTTTCTTTATACTTAAGTATGAGGATTTATCTAGGGTATGTATCCAGAGGTGAAATTGCTGGCCCATAGATTTATATGTATTTTATTACTTTATTAGAAGTTGTCAAATTGCTTTTTAAGGTGGCTATACCAATTTTTACTTCTGTTTCCAACGTATGAGAGTTCCATTTTCTCCACATCTTTGTTACCACATCATATGATCATTTTTTAAAAAGTTTTTTGTCATTCTGATGGGTGGAAAATTGTACTTTGTCTTAATAAACATGATGTAAGTGTAACAGGATTGATGGGGTAGAATATACATTTGCTCATTTGTCATATGGATTGAATTTTGTGTCTTGCTTCCATTACTGCAGTAATCATCCTCCTCCTCCTCCTCATCACAGTAATAAAAGATTTATTGATTGCTTATTATGTGCCAAAGCTTTTGTTTTGCACTTATATGTAATTTAATCCTCACATCAACTCTCTGATATAGAGTCTCTTATTGGCTCCTCATTTCACAGCTGAGGAAAGTAGGAGAAGGAAAGACTAAGTATATTGTCCAGTGTCACATAATTATTAAGTAGGAAAAGAGCAGGACTTGGACCCAGGGACTCAGTTCACAGCTCAAGCAGTCTGGCCTCATAGCTGTGTTCTGCCTTTGCCTTTCTGAATTTCATTTTCTAAAAAGCCTTGTATAAATCTCAAGAAAGGCTGACATTTTTTCTATAAAACTAACTCTGAAGTGAACATGTTCTGTAAGTTATTTCCTTTATAGATCCCCCTTCTCTTTCCTGAGGATATTTAGAATGCTGTGTTCAGTGAATAAGGAGTCTGGTTCCTCACCACTGTGGTCATTTTGGCAGCTCTCTCTTTGGTTATTTCCTCCTTTGTTTTAAGGGTTTATACTTCTAGGGAGTGTATTTGAAGGTCCTTGCTATTTGTGCCAAACCCTATGAGAGCAGGTGGTGTATTACCCAGAGGTTACTTAACCTCTCTGTGTCTCTTTGCTTCTTTGTAAAATGGGGCTAATAAGAGTATCTACTTTGTAGGGATGATGTGAGAATTAAATGAAAGTATATGTAACTCACTTAGGGAATCATGCTGAGCACATGATAAGTCCTTAATAAATGTTTGCTGCTACTTCTGTTTTTGTTGTTGTTGTGTTATTCAAGAAATCATAAGAACTACTTTTTAATTCAGATCAACCATAAAGAGTCCTAGGAGACATTTTCTTCTATTCTTTCTTTTATTATTATTATTTTTCCTTTTTAAGAGAAGAGTTCAGCAGTCCTGCCTATGTATTCTGGATTCTTATGTGTGTTCGTACAATGGCTAAACTTACTGACTTCTTTACTCTGCTTTAAGAAATATGGAAGGATGTTGATTCTTTTCTTTCACAGAACTGCTAGAGTGAGAGAAAATGATGAATTAGATTTTAACTAGTTTATTCACAGAGATTTTATAAGATCAAGGATCATGGTGAGATATTTTCAAACTAAACAGAAAGACGTTCTAGGACTGTAGATTTCAAGTTAAGAAAAAAGTACTGACCAAAGAAAGGATGTATCTCAGCATCTGTATCCATCTGACCCACTGGCCATCCTCTCCCTCTAGCTATGGTGCTCTTTAATCTTTCTCCTAGTGAGACCTCCTTCATTTAGTAGGAGTCCTTACTTCAATCTTGCCTCTCCTCTGGGAGAACATCTGGTGTCAGTGTTGAGGGCGTGTTTGACTATGCTGTCTTTTCCTACTTAATGTCCAATATTGTCTTCCTTTATGCAGCATGGAGTAGATCGCAGGTCTTGTTATCTCCTTAAAGCTCTGTTTGGTATGTTTTCTTCCAACATTCTGAGATGCTGACTCATCTTGACTAAACTCCATTGAAATTCACCTTATTCTTACATCCTTGCCTTTTAGAAGATATGTACTTTAAATCCATTCATAAGTCTTATACCTCTTTGCAATTATTATATATGAGTTCACTTGTTGATTTTGTGTGTATGGGAAGTACATTCAAAGCAGAGGACATAGGAAGTGCCATAAGGTCCAGGAGAATGCCAGATGAATTTAAGGAACATTTAGGAGATGATGTGGTACCTGGAGTGAAGAGAGGAAGGTGGAGAGCCATGGGAGATGAGTTTAGGGAAGGAGTGGCGGGATCAGATCATGTAGGATTTTGTCAGCCACTGCTCTTCATGCCCTGACTGTTAGTGACCAGGTCTGCCTCGGCAAGAAAGACTTTCTGCAGAGTAAGCTTCTGACATAGCATGTACAGGAATGTTCTTTTTCTTGATTTGGTTGCTAAGCTTAGAAGCTACCATCTATTCAGTGGTAGCTGAATTTCTTTATTACTTAATGTCTGTAATACTAAAGCTTCTGCCAAATGGTACTTTTACATTTCCTTAGCATGGAGTGCAAGTCCAGTATTTATTTGCAACAAATCAGCTTCAGAAATAATGTTAGCATTGATCAGACTCTACAAAACATGTAATTGGGAAAGTATTTAAAGTTATCTTGTTTTGCTACTAGTAAAACCTTAATAAATTGAGCAAATAGTATTTGCAAAAAATCAACATATATAACATTCCATTGCATTTAACATATTTATTGTTATTATTAATCATTTTAACCATTTTTTAAATATGTAGTTTTGTGGCATTAAGCACGTTCATCCATCCTGGCTATGCAACCATCACCAACATCCATATACAAAACTTTTTCCATCTTGCAAAACTGAAATTCTGTGCCATAACTACCTGTTCCTCTCTTCTCCCACCCACTAGCAACCACCATTCTACTTTGTGTCACTGTGAATTTGACTACTCTAAGTACCTTATATGAGTGGAATCATACAGCATTTCTCCTTTATTTTACTTAACTGGCTTATTTCACTTAGCATAATGTCCTCAAGGTTTATCCATGTCATAGCATGTTTCAGAATTTCATTCCTTTTTAAGGCTAAATAATATTATGTATATACCATTTTATATATCCATTTATTTGTTAATGGACACTTAGGTTGCTTTTATCTTTGGCTATTGTGAATAATGCTTCTTACAACATAGTTATACAAATATTTCTCAAGACCCTGCTTTGAATTCTTTTCAGTATAAACCCAGAGATTAAATTGCTAAATCATATGGTAATTCTATTTTTAATTTTTTGAGTAACCAACGTACTGTTTTCTATAGCAGCTGCATGATTTTACATTCCCACCAGCAGTGTACAAGGGTTCTAATTTTTTCGACATCCTCACCAATACTTGTTTTCTTTTTTGTTAGTAGCCATCCTCATGGTTGTGAGATGATATCTTATTGCACTTCTGATTTGCATGTCCCTAATGATTAGTGATGTTAAGCATATATTCATGCGCTAATGGGCCAGTTATATATCTTTCTTAGAGAAATGACTATTCAACTCTTGCACATTTTAAAATTTGCTTCTCTTTTTTTTTTTTTTTTTGAGTTTTAGGAGTTCTCTATATATTCTGGATATTAATCCCTTATTGGATATGTGAATAGCAAATATTTTCTCTTCTGTGGGTTGTCTTTTTATCCTATTTATAGTGTCCTTTGATGAACAAAAGTTTTTAGTTTTGATGAAGTCCATTTTGTCTCTTTTTTCTTTTGTTTTCTGTGCCTTTGGTGTCATATACAAGAAATCATTACCAAATCCAATATTATGAAGCTTTTCCCCTGTGTTTTCTTATAAGAGAGTAAATTTTTATTTATTTTCATAGGGTTGAACTTTGGAGAGAACCAAGCAAATCCTTGGGCATCAGCATTGTTGGTGGACGAGGGATGGGGAGTCGTCTAAGCAACGGTGAAGTGATGAGAGGCATTTTCATCAAACATGTTCTTGAAGATAGTCCAGCTGGCAAAAATGGAACCTTGAAACCTGGAGATAGAATAGTAGAGGTACCCTCCAGTGAGATTTCTGTGCCAAAATTCTTCACCTGTCTATCCTCTTTACCAAGGGAATTGTCATCTTTATACTGGTTACTCGACCTGACATTAGAGTAATATATGTTTGGGGTTAAAGCATTTCTTTCTTATTTGTATCTTTTCATTTATAATTTTCTCTTATGTACAAGGAATACATTGTATATCTTGATGTAAAGACTGATGTTTGGGGATATAACCAGCCATTTAAAAAACATTGGTCCCAAGTTAAAATAATTATGTTCTGTTTGAAAGAACAAGGCAAATTTATTGGGGAGAAAGTGAATTATTTAAAATTATGTATATACACACAGACACAAAATGTACACATCATACTTAAGTTTTCCAATGAGATTTTATTTCAAGAAATATTTTATCATGATCATTTCATTATAGATAAATGTTCTTGGGTGAGGTTATTTTTTCCCAATTGGGTCTTTCTTTGTAAGATATTTAATGCTAAGACCTTGACTACCTTCCCCTTCAGTCCAAGCCAAGATCTTCATTCTCCTTCTCAGTGCCCTGCGCACTCGCCACTGAAGGCTGTGTGTGTGTGTGTGTGTGTGTGTGCGTGCATGCACGCTCATGCGTGCATGTATGTGCACATGTATGTGTATTTTGTTATGTGCAAGAGAGAAGCCTGTGGTCAAATTTCACCTTAATTCAAAGTGAAGTTTAATATTTTAAATAGATTCTTCTCTCAAGAGTCACTCACTCATTTATTCAACAAATATTCCTGGAGCAGCTGTTGCATTCCAGGTGCTATAACAGGCTCTGGGCATCCCAGAGTAAACAAGGCACCATGCCTGCCTGCCAAGTGGGACAGACTTGACAAGTGATCAAGTCACTTCAGCATGGTGTGATAAATTATTTCATCAGAATAAGCAAAGATTGGGGCCGGCCCGGTGGCACACTGCTACAGTGTGCCGCTTGGGGCTCCCGCCGAGGGTTCGGATCCCACATACAGACTGGTTCCCGCTCACTGGCTGAGTGAGGTGCGGGCGCAGCACCGAGGTTTGCGATCCCATTGCCAGTCCCGGTCTGGTACGGGTGCGACACTGAGGGTTGTGATCCGTTGCCGGACACGGAAAAAGACAAAAGACAAAAAAAAAGTATTGAAAGAATTAAAGTATTTCTTTCACATTGAAAAGAGAAGGACGTTTTTGTGTTATAAAATACTGTATACAGTTTAGCAATGATTCGTTGAGTGCCTTATGTGCAGGGGCTTTTCCAGTAAATCAGAAAGCCATAGGCTTCCATAATCCTGTGGATTCTAAAATGTGCCTCTGCTAGCAGTTTCTGAAAATGTATGTAAACTAGGTGAGTAGAGACCTGCAAAGTATTCCATTCTGAGTATAGAGTTCTTTGGACTTGAAGAAAGATATTTAGCTCCTGTTGAATTTTCCCACTAATGGAATGTATTGTAGACATATAGAAGACATGTATACTGACTTTGTTCAAGTTAGAAGCCATTCTTAATATGCACTGAAAAAAAATATGTCATCCAAGTGTCAACCTTCAGGAGGTTTTCAACTAAATGTATAAAATTCTTTTAATCTTTTGATAATGATAATGTTCTCTGAAAATATCTAATAATTAATTTTCTTTTCCAGAGTTGTGTCCACTCTGAGTCTGCTATTTTGTTGTGTGTATCATGTCATGGTAATTGGAAATGATAAAATTATAGTAACATCCTGTAGTTTTCTGGCAGGATTAGCATTTGGCCTTTTAAACTATTTTCCTTCTTACTCATATAGCATATAAGCTGAGCTGATAATCACCCAGGCAAGCCATGGTCAATACAAAACTATAAAATAACTATTTTCAAGCTATTTATATAAGAATTACTAACAAATAAGCACAGTTTCTTGGCTTTCAGCTCCTATCATGTCTACTGCAAAGACTCTTTTGTGAAACTAATCTTATGATAATCTGATTTTTTCTGGATATCAGAATTTTGTTTTTAACTTCAAGCATCTCTGTACAGAGAGAAATATACAAGACATGATCACCCACCTGCTTCCTAAACCACTCTATTAGAAGAAAATTAGTACAGGGACTCATGATGAAGACAGTGCTGCTAGGTAGTACTCTTATATTATTTCTTTAATGATGCTGATTTATTAATTTAAAGGAACAACTGAGCAATGCAAGAAATGCAGAAGCAGAGCCTTTATTCTAATTGATTATAACTACAGTTGATTATTAGAGACAGAAATCTGTGTCCAAAACAAGGGACCACAAGTCTGCTGGACAGATAAGAAGTTCTGCAGCCTCACAAGTAGTCTCAATTATTTTTGATACAGAAACATATTTTCCAGGAGCCTAACAAAGGATCCTCAAAATTTCAGATCCACAAATTTTTCTTTTGTTTTATAGCTTCTTGAAATGTTAAGCTGAGGCCTTCCATTGCAGGTGGATGGAATGGACCTCAGAGATGCAAGCCATGAGCAAGCTGTGGAAGCCATTCGGAAAGCAGGCAACCCTGTAGTCTTTATGGTTCAGAGCATTATAAACAGACCAAGGGTAAGCAAACACAAAGGGCAAGGTAGGCATATGCAAACAGTGTTCAACTTGGAATCTAACATATCCAGGGCCAAGTTGTCTGCATGAGCAAAGATATCAATTCTTGAAATCTCAGAAGACTTGTTAAACGTTTGTTTTGCTTTTTTAAAAATTGAGTTATCTTGGAAATCTCTTCCACCATGTTCAACAAAGACTTGAAGTCTTTTGAAAACACTTAGAAGTAGAATGTATTGGTGGCCTTAGGTGTCTAGTGTTTATTATAGTCACATAATACACAAGTTGTTAAAAGAAATGTGGTGTAGTCATTCATTTTAATAGTCCATGATCTCTAATGGAGTCTCTTAGAAGCCAGAGTGATTACATTTTCTTGGAATTTATTCTGTAGGCAGAATCTCCTGCTTATGCAATCCCATAATCACCTGTAAATGATCTTTAATGTATTTGTGTATCCCACTGAAAATTAAATTTCTACAGGGTAGATTTTGTTTATTCACAAGTGGTTTCATAACTGCTGTTTCTCAGCCACAAGCACTGTACAGCCCTTCAACACAGTATAGCTCCTGGTGGACAGAAACCTGTTAACCCATTTTACAGTCAGTCATCACAGGTAAAATAGCTTTAAAAGTTATGTTAGAAAATGTAAGCAGATTTAATGAATGTTGTTGATAGAGAAGATGCAAAGTGAAGCTTTGTGTATTTGAATTGTCTTAAGGATGCTGAAGATAAAAACCATGCCAAGAGTTTAAAACTTTTTTCTATTCCTTATGACTCATTGAAAGAAAATGTAAGCAGATTTAATGAATGTTGTTGATAGAGAAGATGCAAAGTGAAGCTTTGTGCATTTGAATTGTCTTAAGGATGCTGAAGATAAAAACCATGCCAAGAGTTTAAAACTTTTTTCTATTCCTTATGACTCATTGAAAAAAATGTTTTTATATGTAGCAGTTATTAAATTTATTGGGGCCCATACCCCTTTGAAATTTCTTCACAAACATACGTATTTACCCAAAAGTTTGTACACTTTTTCAGGAGTTCCCTAGATGTCCAGAAGCTCTTCAAGACTGTACTTCTGGACCTAACAACCCCTGTCATATCGATTTTCTTTGAATTATCTGCTTACTAGTTTTTAGGGTTGATTGTTTTTAAAAGAAAAACATCAACATATGTTAGGCAAGTTAAAGGTACCATCTAAAACTTAAAATATGTAATTTTATTACCAAAATACATTAATTTTAACTTGTAAAATTAAGAATTTAAGTCATTAATGCTCAAATGATGGAAGGAAAGTAGCAAACAGCTCCATAGATGAGATCGGTAATAGTAATTTATCAATATTCTATACCATGGAATGAATATTAAGTGACAACATTATTCTTACTGGTCCTTCCTTTTGTTATTGAGACAGGTGTAACTCTGGTCTGGGTTCATTGAAAGGAGTGAATTTAGTAGTTCTTAATGTAAGCAGTTATCTTCACATCTGCAGTTTTTAATCATTCAGCTGTTTATTGTTAGGTAATAATTATCTATTCAGATAGAAAATCTGCCAAATGGTAGGGCTGCATCATGCTGCATTCTTTACAAATGCTATAGAGTTTGTTTAAATAACTACACATCTTTTTACATTTGTTTCTATGTGTTAAACAGACACAGAATGATAATGTTGGTAAATGGCTGTTTTTAAGTTAAGTTAAAGCTATTTTTATGTGTGTGTGTTTTATTCCTTTTTTTGTTTTATTTTTAATTTCCAACTTTTATATCATTTGGAACAATACTATAAAATGTTGAATAGTGAGACTCAATATTACTTTAAAAACTTAAACTACAAATATTTCTTTCAGTGTTAGTCACATTTTCTAATGAGTTAAGAAGATATTGTCTTATACACCTGGAAAATACTACTATTTTACTATCTAAAGTATAATGATGCCTGATTTTATAGCAATTATTCCAGGATACATCTTGCTTAGAATGACATGTTTAGTCAAGTTATACGCATTTTGCTTTGGGAAATTAGAATTAATTTTGCATTTAAAATGGATATACTTTGTTTCCAATGATTTACTTCCCTGAGGAAATAATCATGTCTCCAGTAATCTAAAGGGAAAAACATCACAAATAACATACTTAAGAATCTCTTAGTAGTAAATGTTTTATTTGTGGATGTTGGGTAAAGCTTCTAGGAAATCTTATATATAGGCTAAAGAGGCATCAGTCTCTCTCCCTTTCACTGTTAAGGAATCAGAACTTCCCTGAACTAGCCCTGATAATTCCGCTAGTATGAATTCATGAAATGTGGGCCCTTTTAATATGGGCCAGAGAATGTTTTTGTCATCTCTGTGCTTCCTAGTTAATAATGTTTCTGCTTTTATCAGCCCTTGAGACTATAAACAGAAGTTTCATCATTGATTTTTTAGTAAGTAATATAGTCTGTTTCTATAAATCTTTCCATAATAATAGAGCAATCTACCATTTCATCTGCTGTGCTCATGCTGTACTTTTACACTGTGCTACCAGGGCCAAATTCTAATCCTATAAAATCTGCAGATTTTAAAAAAAAAAAATTAAAACAAAAAACAAACAAAAAAACCCCACTAGAGCTCTCTTTAAATATTCCACTTCTTGACATTATGGTTTTATTTTCTTTTGTTCCACAGAATTATTACGGACACATGAACCTAAAAATATCATGGATTAGAGATGATCTCCATCTTCCATAGTATTGAATTATTTTGCCTAGGATAGGTTTTTCTTCTCTGCATAGTCATTTCTTCCACCTTAATAAATGGTCATATTCCTTGGCATTTGTGATCTGTTTTGTAATGCGGGAGTTGACATTTTTAACTGAAAACCAGGGAGAAAGTGGAGATGAGCAGAAATGTCATTGTGACCATTTCTTTTTCCTATCTTTCCTCTGTAGTAAAAACATTGCAAGAAGAGCAGATTGAAATGGCAGTGTGGCATAAGCTTTAGTACAGACGCTGAGGGTAGAGTCTTTCCATTGTTCCCCCTACAGGGGGGTGTCACATGACAACCTCTCCCTACACTTGATGCCTGCCACTGGTTTTTTTTTTTTTACAGGGAGAAGTAACACAAACATTTAATTGGAGCCAATATGAATTTTAAATGTCTGCAATTTCCCCTGAAAGATACAGTCAATAAAGGAAAATGATAGTGGGTATGAAAAGAAGAAGAAGAATTTATTGTGCTAAGGAAATTACTTTAAAAAAGAAAACAAATCTATGAAATGCTAAATTCTATCTGGCACTCATCCTCCCTTTAATATGTATATTCAACTCTAACAGTCCTCACTCAGGGCATATTACAGGCAAGCCACAAAACCTGTGAGAAACACTCTAAGGCAGGACTTCAGGTATCCAAAACCTCATAAATTCCCCAATAATGTGGGAAGTTTTATAGGAAATGTTATAAAAACATGAATCTCCATGCTCCTACCTCCACAAAAAGTGGGCAAAAATAGAGAACAACAGTGTACACTGGTTCATTTCTTCACAAATTGTTGATTACATTTTTTAAAATTAAAAAATACAATTGCTCTGAAGCAGCCTTAATATCTAGTCAAAGTATGAAAAGTTTCTTTTCTAGGAAAATAAAAGGAATAATGAAGATTACCAATGAACTAGCAGGCAAATGTTTAATTTGCATTCTGGAGCAGATAGACTATTTTTTTTTAAAAATTAGCTTTTAATGTAAATTTAAACACTTTCATGGTTTTAATTTTGAAACAAAATTTAGGGTCAGTTTGACAGACTAGTTTCCTATGTGGTTTGTGGACTGATTTAGACTCAATGTAGGTTCGGGTCATTAGAGGCAAATCTTTTATTCCAGAGCTTTTAAGATGTTTCTGTTAATCACAAGTTTCACAAAGATCTAGTTTCGTAGAGACAGGTCTTGATCAGTAAGTGCTTTGTTCTTAAAACTGAGTTGTGTTAAATACGTTTCTTTTGCGCTCAGCGCCTCTTATGTTTCCTTTTAGAAATCCCCTTTGCCTTCTTTGCCGCACAACCTTTACCCTAAGTACAACTTCAGCAGCACTAACCCATTTGCTGACTCTCTACAATTCAACGCTGACAAGGTTGGATAATGCCCATTGTCTTGCCATTGCCTTTTGCAAATGTTTTGTTCTTTGTTACTACTGTGCCTTTGTCCTAGTTCACTGTGTACTACCTGTGGGCAGGGGAAAAACCCAACAGCTGTGGAGTAGGCATGCAAATACTTTCTTAAGCACATTTTTTTGCCAGAGAATATTTACTTTTATAGCAGAAATTAAATGGCCCTTCTGAAGAGCGAGGGAGAATCATGAGTCCAGTGCCTTTACTGCATTTTGGTGTGATTTAAATTAACTGATATTTAAATTTTTTTGTTTTTGCCAATTATATGAACTGCTTTCACACAGTTTCTTTAAAACCTTGTATTGGTTTAAATCTTTTTGAACTTCTACAAGGTAGTCATAAAAGCTCTTCTATGAGTTAATCACTCTGCAAATAATTGTGGATGTGTACATGCAGGAGTCCGTTGAATATTCATAAAGCATGTTTATGTAAATGCCTGCATCAGGAAATGTAACTGTTTCAGTGCTCATAAATCTACACTTGGATATTCTCACATTCTGATGGAATTATAAAACCGAAATTGAAATAAAAATTTACAAGAACTTAATGAAAATGAAGAAAGCTGTCACCAGTTTCTTTCAGGAAACATTTTATGAATATTCATTGGATTTTCATGTTATTGTAATACAGATAACCAAAGATGCTGTATCTGAAGGAATATGTTTTCTGTTACTGTAGGAGTTACAGAGTTCAAGTAGAGTTATCTTCCGTTGTTCCCCAACTAACCCTTTTGCTCCCACACCATTTAAGGTTTGAAGTGTTAAGTTTTTGTAAGTGGGTGTGTTGCAGTGTGCTGTATGTGTATGTTGTACTTGATGTGTACATACATGCATGGAGTGATTTTAAGTGCACTTTGCATTTTTGCCAATGAGGGCTAAACAATCTTTGTTAGAGAGCTAGATTTTCATTAATAAATTTTAAGAAGTGTCAGTAACAAGTCAGTTACATGATCTTGGAGAGAATGAAGGTGTCAGAGGAACTAAAGTAGAGAACCTAATTGTCTCTTGAGTAAATACAGGCTTATATTAGTTTTGTGATTCACCAGTTAAATTAGGGCACCATTGTAGTTTACTCACTGTACGAAAATGTTGTGCCTGAGATTCCAAGTAGTTTTTCAGATAAATTGTATTTGTTTGTTCTTAAGAAAAATAAGAGCTCAGAAAAATTATGCAGCAAGATCTATAAATTTTTACCCATAGATTTGTTAAAATTATAGGAAGTTTAAATTAGATTTCGTTCCACTTTTTAAAAATCAAATGGACTTAATTCTTGCTAACATTTTTGTTGTTACAGAAAATAAAATTTTTTTAACCAGAAAAATTCTGAAGCACATATCTCCCTCCTTTACTTTGATTAATGAACCTTGGTTTGATCAAATGAAGTTGTTTTGTGTGTTTGTTCATTTTTATTTCTATGTTATTAATTTGCGATATTTGTGGCACAGCATTTGGGAGCTTAACCAGGTTTTCATTTTCACTAGTAACTCCTATCTGTTTGGCCCAAGATGTGTAAACAAGCATTTTAATACACAGATTCTGTTACCTGAAAATCTATTGCCCTAAGTCTTTATCAACCAATCCTCTCTGCTTTGCCAGAAAATTGAGCACTTTCTGAATCATCAAAGAAAGATTATATTCAGTGTCAAATAGTTTTAGTGTTAGATATATTTTGTGATATTCTGATTCTTGGCACCAATTAATAATTCCTAAATGGTTGTGCATGCCTATTATTTATTGTGTTCTTATAAGAAATAGGTGTTTTTTTAAAATTATCTTTTTTTAAAATATACACATATAAAATAGTTTATGTCAGAGGAATTTTTATGCAGAAAAAAGTAAAATAAAGAAGGGTAGAAAAAATACAAGTTGAAGGCATCAGAGACAACTTCATACCAAGGTTAGCTTTAGCTGGGTGCCCTGACCCTTGATTTAGGTACTCTCTTACTATGGAAATTAGAGGAGACAACATGGTATAATGGAAAGTGCACTGGATTAAGAATTAAGCAAAAAGAAGTCTAGTACCACTGTGTGATTTTGAACAAAATCTTTCACTTCTCGTGGCCTCAGGTTCAAAAGGTTTATTCATCTGCAAAATGAATACACTGAACTTGGTGACTTAAAACTCTTCAAACTCTAACATTCTGTTTGATAATTTATAATATAAGAATGTGATGATGCCAAATCATTTTTTTTAATAGGACCTATTGTCCCAAGTGTGCAAGTATGCCACATTTTGGCTTTGTACGAAATATGCCACTATGTTTTCTCATTTACTTTGTGAGCTACCTTGGCAAGGGTGTTGTCCCTTAACACCACACACTCAGATCTGGATATTTGTGCTCTGTGCTGAGAGGCTGGCTCCCATGGTAGATGAGGCTGCATGTGCAATGCTCGTTTCTATGGATTTGTTGGTGTGTCATTTGGAGAGAGGATTCAGGTAGCAATAAAGAATTTTTTATAGATAGTCTCACTAACAAGCTTAGAAAAGCAACTTTTTTGTTAATTTTCTCTTTTTTAGTTTCTTGGCAGACCTTTTTAGGCCCCCAAAATCTTGCCTAGCCCCTGCATATTTATTATAACTTTTGAATGAGATTTTTTTTTCCAAAGGAGAAGTTTGCACAATCTGCTATCTTAAGTCATTTAAGCCTTCAAATTGGATAATTCATGAGCTTAAAATAGCAAATAACAGTTTAATTAACTGTGCTCTGATACTATTTTAATATATTTAAACTTTACTTGAATCCTATCTGACATTTCATATATGTATGAGCTTTCCATTATTTGTTAGATATTTTAAAGCTCGTGTTTGTTTCTGACATTATACTCTTATTTCTTTTCCTTAAAGTTTTCTCCCTTAGACGGCACATACCCACTGCATTCTTCTTGTTCCCACAGGCACTCAGTCAGACAGAGTCGGAGCCAGAGCAGGCGCCATTGTGTGACATGCCTCCACCCCCTCCTTCGGCATTTGTGGAAATGAGCAGTGATCATGCACAGTCATCTGCAAGCAAAATCTCAGAAGATGTGAACAAAGAGGATGAGTTTGGTTACAGCTGGAGTAAGTTGTCTTTTTGTGATGCATTTAATTATAAGAGGTATTAAAATAGCTTTGAGTTTCTCAAGGCTTATCCCCTGGATGAATACATTTCAGCTTTAGTAATGCATACTGCAGTTCTGTGTGGAAAAAAAAAGTTTGTTTTGCTTGAATGCAACATACGTTCCTGAGCCATGAAATCTCGTTCTTCCTTTCCTTTAAATGTGCATTCCTGTTAAAGCCCACTTTGCCTTTGCATGAAAATTGTCAAGGACAGGGCACTCTCTCAGAAGCTAGTACTGCCATCAGCCACCCTGTGGTGTTCAACAAGTCCTTTCTAGGCTCAGATTCCTCATTGTAAAATCTTTTTGTTGGCATTACATCTTGAACTTCTGGTATTCTCTGTACTAGTATGGTAACATAATATAATTGTTGAGATTAAAACTTTGGGCAAATGTCAAGGGTTCAGATCCCCTTACCAGCCATCTGCCCAAAAAATCAAACAAAAAAACTTTGGACATTTGGTAAGTTGTGTAACCGCCTCTAAGTTTTAGCCCAGTGGTGCTCTCTCTTTTTAAAATGCATTTCTTCCCTGAGGTTGCAAACATTAAACTAGATTATAGGGCCGACCCTGTGGTGCACTAGGGAGAGTGCAGCACTGGGAGCGCAGCGACGCTCCCGCCGCGGGTTCGGATCCTATATAGGACTGGCCAGTGTGCTCACTGGCTGAGCACGGCACGGGCGACACACCAAGCCAAGGGTTGCGATCCCCTTACCGGTCACGAAAAAGACAAAAAAAAGAAAAAATTAGATTATGTCTGATGAGTGCTAAGCACAATGCTTGGTGCACAGGCAACACTCAAAGGTAGCTGCTGTTAGGATCAATGGGGCATCTCCGTTTTCTAAGGAAATAAGCCATTTTACAGGGAAATAGTAAAAAATTAGCCAAAAATTATAAATGTGTCATTGTTTTAAAAGTTTCTAAAAATCAAATTATTTTCCTTGAGATAGCTATAGTACCTGCTTTTCAGAAATACAGAGTACAAAAGTTGTGCTGATAGATTCCAGTAGGAGTCAGGAGATGGCAGTTTATGAAATGGTTCCAGTTAAGAATCAATGTAGATTCTTGTTAGTATAGTGCTGAGTAAAGAAAAAAATCGAATCAATACAGAATGCATGACGTTAGCCATATAGTAACATTTTTGAGGAGATCATTTGTAAAATTTTCAGTTTTATCAGTCTGTTATCAGTGATATTAGAATATATTGCTAGTACAAAGTGGCCAGAATGTACTCTGAGGAAAATGTGGACCAAAAGGTTTCAATTTTCTATTATCAAGCCTCTCCACAACTTAATGGCTTAAAACAACCATTTATTATTAATCTGTCAAGGTGTGGTGTGGACTGAGCTCAGCTGGGCTGAACTTTAGACATGGCTTATCTGCACGGCTGGCAGTTGGTGCTGGCCGGTGGTTGGTGGCTCATCTGGGGCTGTGGGCTGGAACACCTCCTTGTGGCCTCGCAGATTAAAGAGGGTGGACAATAAACTCTACCTCCTGAAGATGTGGCATAGGAGATATGAATGGTCTCATCTAATTAGGACATGTGCCCCAAAGCTGGGACAGCTACATCAGTTTGTCCTGTCCTGATGGCTCTGTGCGATAAGAAAGCCCATTCCCTTCATTCTGGATATATTTACCAAGCAGTTGCTCAACAAGATGTGGTAAGCAATGTAGAAAAGCTCCCTCTGGTCAGTGAGCACAAATATTCTAGATGCCTTAGTTCTGTTCTCTGCAAATGATAAAGTAGGTTTCTGGTTCAATTATAGTCTTTCAAGAGTTTGTAAATGTGAATCATTTGTCTGGGGCCTGATCACCCCAAAGTGAACTGATTAATTAGACACTATGCTCTCTGCTAAGAAATTCCTCAAAGTTTGGATACTCCAGAAAACCAGTTCTGATGCTCAGGGGGCTAGTCTATTTAGCGTTTAACTGCCAAAGATTACATTTTGGTACAAATATGAGGGTACATCAAAAACATGGTGCAAAAATAGAATTAAAAGATAATATGAATCCTTCCATGAACTTTTTGAAGACCCTTTGAAATGCCCCTTTAAGATAAAACTAAATAGCCTTCCATAGTAAAGCATTTGACTGTGAGTAACCTTTAAATATGTATGATTTTTTTTTGTTGTTGTATATAGAAAATATCAGAGAGCGTTATGGAACCCTAGTAGGTGAACTGCACATGATCGAACTAGAGAAAGGTCGTAGCGGTTTGGGTCTAAGTCTTGCTGGGAACAAAGACCGATCCAGGATGAGTGTCTTTATAGTGGGGATTGATCCACATGGAGCAGCAGGCAAGGATGGCCGATTACAGATTGCAGATGAGCTTCTAGAGGTAAGTTCCTGTGGGAAACTAAACTTACTCTCGCTGTATTGGTGCAATGGAATGAGTTTGCAGAAAATCACCCAGACCTCATAGGGTGACTGAGAAAACTATCACTTGCCTAATAAAATAGATGCATTGCAGCAAATTTGGCTGTAAACCAAATCTCTACTAAGTAGAGTCTGTGTTCCCATTAACTTCCATTAAAAGGTCATGGTTAGGTAACACCAGAAACAATTTTTGCCCCAAGACAGTAATAAAGATCACACTTCAAAAACATTTTTTTTTTTTTGGTGTGTTGTATTTTATTAGGGGTTTTTGAAAGCCAAATGACCAATCATTCCAGAGTAATGAGGCTGACCCACTGGACATTCTGGAGTTTGAATTTCTAATGGGAGAAGTGATGGGGGTGAAGAGGGGTAGGGTCAAGGTTAAGGCTAAATAACACAAACATTAACTCAGCCTGCCAAACAAAATAAATTTGTGGACCATACTTTATAGAGTTTAGAATTTTATTTGCTTGTGTTGTTTGTCCTCCCGTAGGCTGGAATCCACGTGTCCTCATACTGCCTTTGTATTCTTCTCTAGTTTTGTTGTTGGCTGGGAAGGCTCAGTCAGCACTGGCTAAATGACTAGATGCCTGAGCTGGCAGGTTCCATTAGGCACCGTGTTGCTGAAACACAGTCTGCTGCCTAAACTTTAAATCTACTGAGCCCTCCTTTCCCCGGTGGCCTATTCCCAATGCTTGAGTTTTGAGACTAATTGGGAAATATGACAGTAGGGAACTTCCCAGGATGGTCTTTGCAGGTCACAAGTGTTTGCACAGAGCCCTTGCTTTGTACAAAGCATGCTGGAAGCCGGGTGCCTGCCAGGATGTTTGCTGGGTACTCTCCTGCAGTTAGTCTAAGTGGTCTTTACCAGCAGTTCATGGATATAAGGTGTTGTATACATCATTTTATTTTAATGCTGGCTTTAAACATGAGCTTTTCTTTATTCACCATCAAAATTCAGGTTCATGTTCTAGGGAGGAAACTACATGTAACATTTTAAAGGAAGGGAAAATGTGCTTTTCATTAGTTATATGGAATGATAAAATTTTTTTTTTTAATTTTTTAAATTTTTTTAATTTTTTCTTTTTTTGTCTTTTTCCGTGTCCGGCAACGGATCGCATCCCTCAGTGTTGCACCCGTACCGGACCGGGACCGGCAACGGGATCTCAACCCTCGGTGTTGCTCCCGCACCTTGCTCAGCCAGTGAGCGGGAACCGGTCTGTATGTGGGATCCGAACCCTCGGCGGGAGCGCCACCGTGCTCCCAAGCAGCGCACTGTAGCAGTGCGCCACCGGGCCGGCCCAGGAATGATAAAAATTTATGAAATTAAAATTTCAGGCTCAACTAATGATATTTATTTCACACAGATCAATGGTCAGATTTTATATGGAAGAAGTCATCAGAATGCCTCATCAATCATTAAATGTGCCCCTTCTAAAGTGAAAATAATTTTTATCAGGTGAGCATTTTTTGTGTGTAATGCTTTATCAAATGCTTTTTGTTAGCATTTCAACTCTGACTTCTTTTGAATGAAAATAAAACATTTGTAAATATGTGAGTGTTGTAGTTCCAGGTCTTTGGGATTAGAGATTTTTCTCTAGTAATCTTTCTGACTTTTCAAGTAAGACAATGAAAATAATATCATTATGATATGATAGGCTGATGTTTTTTTCTTTCAGAAACAAAGAAGCAGTGAGTCAGATGGCTGTATGTCCTGGAAATACAGAACCTTTGCCTTCTACCTCAGAGAATCTTCAAAATAAGGAGGTATACATGACCTGTGCTTGTTTCCCTGAGAAGATTTGATGGATGTACCATTTATTAGTTCAGTTAACAAGTATAGAACACTTGCAGGGACATCAATATAGATAAGTTACAGCCTTCTCTCTGAAGGAGTGTCTAGTACAAAAGACACTCATGTAAGAACACCACTTGCATGAAGACTACCAGTAGAGCCTGCATAGGGCATAGTGAGGATCGAAAAGGGGTTGTCAGTTCTGCCTCTGGAAAGAGAACAGTAAGACTTTATAAAAGAGGTCACACATGAAGTGTATGTTGGGAGATTTGGGGGTTGCAGAACCATTGCCAGCAGAGGGTGTGGAATGAGGAATGGCATGTAGGCTCTGGCTGGTGCCTGGAATTGAACATTGCAGAGCATTGCTAAACAGTGCGGGGCAGAGACTGGGGAAATGGTCACTGAGAGAGGAGATAGGGTCAGATCATGGGGAACGTTCAAACAGGCTAATAACATATACCAACTTTGTCTTTGAGGGAGTGTGGAGCTCGAAGAATGAGAATTGTACTTTTAGAAATTTCTCTGGAAATTGTGTAGAGAAAAATCAGAGGTTGCAGGGGAGAGAAGTTAAGTAAGAGGGAGTAGGAAGATCAGGAGAGGGACAATAAGGGCCTGAACTAAGACAAGAAAAGAGGGAATGGTCATGTCAGATGTTTAGGTCCCAAAGTGATGGAACTTCATACCCAACTAAATGTACTCATTGAGGAAAAGTTAATGGTTGAGAATATATTTATTCAACAAATATTTCTTGAGTAATCTGCCTTGTACCAGGTAATGTAGTTTGGGCTGGGAATATACTGGTGAATAAAACAGGATGTACAAGTCTTCCCAATGTCTGACTTCATGATGTGATGAATGGCCCTCTTTCATGGGTTGAGAATATATTTATTCAACAAATATTTCTTGAGTAATCTGCCTTGTACCAGGTAATGTTGTTTGGGCTGGGAATATACTGGTGAATAAAACAGGATGTACAAGTCTTCCCAATGTCTGACTTCATGATGTGATGAATGGCCCTCTTTCATCAAAATAGAAAATATAGGAAAGAGGAGCAGATATTTGCAAAAATAGAATACGTTCTATTTGAGGCAGCTTAAGAATGAAGTGCCTGCTGGAAAGCCTTGTAGAAGTGTACATTGGGACATTTGGTCTAGAGTTTAGAGATAAATTCCCCTAGATGCAGATTTGGCATTTGTGAGCGATGGGAGCTGAGGTGCTTTGCCTGCAGAGAACATGTAGAGAGAAGAAGAGGGCCAGGATCATGTTAATATCAACGATAAGGAGGAAGGCTAAGAGAGAGGACAGAGAGGACAAAGAGGAACCAGGAGGGCACGTTGCACAGCAATGGAGGATGGCGCGTTTCAAGAAGAAGGGCATATTCCACAGCCTTAAATGCTACAAAGAGGCCCAGTAAGAAGTGATTAAAGAGAGTCCCTTGGATTTTGCAGTTAGGGAATTATTAGTGATTCTTGAGAAAGCAAATGATGCATAAGAAATTAAGGAGAGAGAGGACAGTGGCTAGAGAATCACAAAGAATTAATGTTTTTTTGTGGTAGTTTTGATTTGGAAAAGCTTTGGATACATCTATAAGATGGATAAAGGAGGTAGTAGAGAGTGAAAAGCTTAAAATTAAAGGAGCCGTGGTGACTATCAGGTGGGGGAAGGTGTAGGAATAGAAATACTCTTCCCTAAGTGAACATATGAACATAGGGCTTATTAATACATAAGGAAATATACAAATCATTGTTCTCATTCTGACTGCTCCTAATGTTGAACTGAGTCAGGTGGTGCTTAAGATGGCTAGGTTATAAAGGAGAAAATTGTATTTTCATATTAATTGTACTGAATATGTCCCCTAAGAAAATGGAGTATTTTAATAATTTTGAGATAAAACATTTAATAGTTTCTAAATTCAGTTGCTAAGTAACTAACAGTAGAGAATAACACACGGTGTCTGTCTCTGCTGTGCTCTGTATGTCTGTGAGCAGCACTGTTTGTTAGCTGGGTGGTTATTAGCTTTCATTATACGGTAAATCTAAGCAGTCTTCAGAGCACTTGGTTTCTCTGTCTGCTAAAATAATTGCTGTCTCAAGTCTTTTGAAGGTAATATAATGTTCATAAATGCCATAAAATGTTAAAATAGTGATAATGAATCACAGTATATGAAATAAATTTGATTAAACGGCCCTTATATTTAGAAAAAAATACCTAACACCCGGTTGCCTTTTTTGCCATTTCTTTCCCTCTATCAGGCAGAACCAAATGTTACTATTTCTGATGCAGCTGTGGACCTCAGTTCATTTAAAAATGTGCAACATCTGGAGCTTCCCAAGGTAAATCTGTTTTGAATTGGAATAAAATGTGGGTACCTTCACACCAGTGTTCCAATTCACTGGTTCTCAAAAATGTGGCCTCAAGACTAGCAGCATTAGCATTACCTGGGATCTTGTTAGAAATGCAGATGCTTGGGCCCACGCAGACCTACTTGTTGAATGAGAAACTCTAGGGGTGTGTCCAGAAGTTTGTTGTTTTAATAAGCATTCCTGGTGATTCCACTATATACCACAGTTGCTAGCTAATTGATGTTTTAGCAGGGGCCCAGCTTTTCCTGCCTTTATGTTCATTCCAAGGTGTGAAATTTAGTCATCTCTCCTTTGATTCATTTACCAAGATACTGCTATGGAGGAAATAAAAATAAAGAAATAGAAATTATAGTCTTTGTTCTTCATAAAACGAAAGCTCAAATAACTAGAAGTTCCACTAATAGGCAAAAATGAGATATTTGCTTTGAAAAGATCCAAATTTTAGGTTCAAACAACCCCTTTTAAAAGGTGGTTTGCTGAACAGAAACCTATAAATGCTTTCAGGTACTGCAGGGTCATGCTAGGAAGCAGGTGAACATTGAATGAACAAAGAGTATAAGCAGAAAGCTCAAGGAAGTGCTCAAGGAGAAGAAGAGGGGAGCAGAGGGGTACAGCCACCCATAGTTACAGGAAACTGTACAAAAATAGATTGTTCTATTCTTCTAATATGTGCATAAGAGAAGTCCTTACTATGGGCTATTTTTTTTTTTGTAGGTAGAGGGAAAAAGAACAAGGTCATTACAGCCTTTTGCCTTTTCTTTCAAGAAGTCCATGTACTTTAATTTGAGAATGCCTCATTTGATTGACATTTGAGAGAGATAATATCTTGCTCTTTCCCTTCCTGATTTCAGGGCTTATTTTTTTTTTTCTAATAAATCCTGAAGTCAGAGTTTATAGTATTCAACAGTGCAATCATTTCCTTATAATTTGTTAAGTATGAAACATTTAAACGTATGTCGAATTTATAATGAATGATATTTTTTCAATCTTAGTTTATGCTTACCTTTAGAAAATTCTAATATAAGATAATTTTCACATATATCCTTTCATAGCATTGATTCTAATTTATTCACTTAAGGCTTAGTACGTCCTAGGACATAATGAGTAGTCAGGAAATGTTGCTGGAATGAACTTGTTCAATGAATAAGGAGCAGAATATTGCATGTAGTGGTTGAGAGCACAGGTTTCAAGTGAGACCACCTGGGTCAGAGCCCTAGATTTGCCACTTACTGGCTGTGAGACTGTGACCTTGGCATATTTCCTAATCTGTACATAATTCTAACTCTCCAAAATGGGGATAATAATAGTACTTACCTCGTAGAGTTGTAGTGAGAATTAAATATGTATTGTGAGTATTAGGTCTCATGGCCAGCATCAGCATAGTCATGGTAATCAATGTTGCCGAGCCTAACAATGAGAATTAAATATACATATTTGTAATGTCTAGTACCTGGTCCACATATATAAGTATTGCTTGTTATTATTATTGTTGTTATAATTATTAGGAAAGAATAAGCTGGCACGGAGTTGTCTACTGCTTCTTGTCACTAGTTTTCTCTGATGTTTTACTTCCTGCACTGAGCTACCTGATTAAAGTATTTGATAGGTGTTCACATTATCTTAATTTCCTACTCAGAACCTTTCAAGGACTCAATTGTCAAACAGATAAATTCAAGTTCCTTGGCCTGGCATTTAGAAATGGGGGTAAACAGAAGCCTGTTCTGTCTGTCAAAAGCTTTTTCACGTCCTGATTTGGTCCTCATTTTCTTCTGTAAATGGGGCTGCCTGTATCAGAGGTTTATTGTTGGAACTGGGTAAGTTAATGAGCAAGTTTCCTTCATTCTACAGTATAAAAGCTGGCTCTGCCTTTAAACTCCTGCTGATTTGCTCAGAGGATGTCTATTATGAGCACTTCCTTTCTGAATTAGATTCTATGGAGGAATCTAAGACCTTACAGAACCTCCATGTATTGCCCACAGAAAGCTTCCATTTATATGTAGATTTCAAACAAACCTAATGCTCAGGTAACTGTAATGTATTTATTGATGAAAACCAAAGTGAGTAAGATGAATATGCAAGAATCTATAAAAGTCAGCTAGATAGAAGAGTTGATTAACCTTGATTTTAATGATTTTAAGTGTGGGCTTTGGAGTCACTTAACTTCTTCAGGCTATCAGCAAAACATTTAACTTCTCTGGCCCTCACTGTCTTTATCTGTAGGTGAGGATAATAATACCTTCATATTAGAGATACTATTGTAAGGATTAAAGAAAAGAATTTACATTAAGTACTTACTAAAGTGCAAGTTATTATAATTATTTTCATTAACATTTTTAACCGTGAGGTTTTGAGTGCCCCATAGACTGTCCTTGAAAATATCCCTCGATGAGGCCATTGCTAAAAATGATGTTAAATGACACATCACACAAAGCCTGTATACTCTTAACCCCATTATTAGATGGCTCTGGGAATAAAACTCAATTAAGCAAAGAAGGGAGAATTAGGGCTCTTAACCCCATTATTAGATGGCTCTGGGAATAAAACTCAATTAAGCAAAGAAGGGAGAATTAACTAGCCTTCTGACACTCATGCCTCATCTGAAATCCTTTGTCATTTATACTATCCTGCATTTTAAAATTATGATTATTTGAAAAAAATAATTTAATGTCACATTTGTTCATTACGTCATTTACTTCTCGGCAGCTCTGTGAGATTGCTGTTATTTCCCCCACTTTTAACTGTTCTCATAACTCCAAGTGGTAGAACTAGAACTTCAGCTCTGGTCTTCTACCTCCAAGTCCCATCTCCATTCCCTGTTTCAACTTGCAGTTGGGCCCATCTACCTTTCTAAAATTCCTGTGTGTTTGTTACAGCAATCCTCTTCTTCAGTCAAACTGATTTGAATCAGAAGCCCATGGGGAGTGTTCTGAGAATTCACCCCTCCTTGCCTGTGCTTATATCACTTGGATTGTCTCTCTGCTTTCTTTTAGCTTATGTAAATCCTACTTATACTCAAGACCCAGCTTACATCTTACGTCCGTTTATTTTGAAATATTTTTTTAATATTCTGGTCTATATAATGCTTAGTATGAATATCTCCGTTTATTTGTCACTTAACCATGTATGGCCCAAGAGCGCACCTCTTGTGGTAAACTTGCGTGTGGGTATCTTTTTCTATACATCTAAAATGCACACATGCTGAGAGAGGAAATTCTTACACTTTCTTCCCCATTATCTTATGTAGTGTGGTGTACGTAGTTATTACTGAGTGTTTGAAAGGGAAGAATGAGTGAATGCTTACGTGCAGTCGATGCCCAAGGGAGAAGATGTTGAAATCAGGAAAGTCAGGAAGAGAGAATAATTTGCGTCCTCTCAAAATGGGATCTCTAGTAACAGATCATTCCTAGTTCTGTTTTAGCTCCGTAGCAACTTTCTTGACAAGTCCATTGTCTTTTTTCTTTTTAATCTTTTTATTTCTAAAAAATGGGAAAATAGAAATAAAAACAAAAAGTTCTAATAGATGTAATCTAAACCTTCAATGGCTGACTGAAATGCTAATTCAATTTATCAGAAAACATTTTTGATTAAAGATTTATTTTTAGCAGTTTGCTCCAGAAAAGTACCTATACATCAAAGCAGGTAACCACCTTCTATGATTGTCAGAGATGTTTCATATCCATACACTCTTATATGGTGAAAGCCTTCCAATATAATTGAGAGTTTTTCTTCTTCTGTATTTTAGAAAACTTTCCATCTTCAAAATAGTTCTCTTTATAATAGTTTGTTTAGCTTAATCCCACTTTTAATTCTTGTTTATTCTTTTCTAACTGCTTAATTATACAATTCTTCATCTATAAATGAATTTCTTTAATTTGTTTTACATTCCCTGTATGTTAGTATTTTAACAACTAGCTCAGAACAGTGTTTCTCAGATCTTTTCCTGCTGAGGACTGTATATACTCTGGTTGAAGTGAAGTGGAAAGTTGAGCAGTTAGATAAGAAATTGCACACTCACACCCTGTTATCCTTCCCTATAGGTCATCCTGCCTTTTTGATACCAATAAATTGTCTGCATGTGTATGTATACTTATTTATTTTCATAGTATTCTAAGTGGGGTTGGGGCATATTATACACGCAGAGGTCTAGCTTATTTTTCCTTTTAGGGCCTTTCCTATTGCAAATAACAACAAAAACACCGAAAAACT